CACCCATGCACCCACCACCCAGCTCAAGAACTACTTTTCCAGCCTTCACTGGTTTGGCTCAGTGGATAGAGCATCCACCTGTGGACTGAAAGGTCCTGAGTTCAATTCTGGTCAAGGACATATGCCCGGGTTGCAGGCTCAAACCCCACTGAGGGGCGTGCAGGAGGCAGTTAATCAATGATTCTCTTTCATTATTGATGTTTCTCTCTTCCTCTCTTTCTCCCCCTTCCTCTCTGAAATGAATAAAAAATATATTTAAAAATAATAAAGTGAACTCTTCTCTCTTTAAAAAGGAACTAGTTACCCTAGCTGATTTGGCTCAATGGATAGAGCATCAGCCTGTGAACTGAAAGGTCCCAGGTTCAATTCTGGCCAAAGGCACATGCCTGGGTTGCAGGCTCAACCCCCACTAGGGGGCGTGCAGGAAGCAGCCAATCAATGATTCTCACTTATCATTATGTTTCTTTCTCTCCCTCTCCCTTCCTCTCTGAAATCAATAAAATATATATATATATTTAAAAGGAACTACTTTTCCAGTCCAATAGATACCACACCCAAGGCCTTCACAGCTACCCCCCCCACCACCACCACACTTTCCTGATTTGTAGCAGCATAGATCCATTTTTCTGGCTTTCGATTTTATTTAAATGGAATCATAGAGTGTCTTCTCTTTTGCATCTGATTTCTTTGCTCCATATGTCTAGAAGACTCACTCATGTCGGTGCATGTGGTAGATATTCCAACATGGGACTCCGCTGCCATTTCTCAGCCCGATTTCTTCTGATGGGCATGTGGGCAGCTCTGGGTCTTGGCTCTCACGATCCAGGCTGCAGCGGCTCCTCTAGACCGTATTCTTCCGTGAGCATCCGTACGCAGTTGCGCCTGGGACAATTCTAGAATCTCCAACCACAAAATAGAATCTTGCCGTTCTAGAATCCTAGGGCTATAAAATTCTCAGCTCTTAGAACTATAGCTTATAAGGGGTGGTGAACACACTATAATATACAGAGGATGTATTATAGAGTCATATGCCTGAAAAGCTATATAATTTCATTAACCAATGCCACCAAAAAAAATTCAATAAAAAAGCAAAAACAAACTAACAAAATGGACACTGCAGACTTAAAAAAATTAAAATAGCTGGGACCGGTTTGGCTCAGTGGATAGAGCGTCGGCCTGCGGACTGAAAGGTCCCGGGTTCGATTCCGGGCAAGGGCATGTGCCTTGGTTGCGGGCACATCCCCAGTGGGGGGTGTGCAGGAGGCAGCTGATCGATGATTCTCTCTCATCGATGTTTCTAACTCTCTATCTCTCTCTTTTCCTCTCTGTGAAAAATCAATAAAATATATTTTAAAAAATAATGCAATGATTAATAAATAATAATACAGGAATAAATTCTTTAAAAAAATTAAAATAACTAAAGTGTATCTTCTCACTGGGTCAGGTCACTCCCTAAAGAGGCAAAAATTGGTTCTTGGGGAGCAAAGAAAAATTTCCCTTTTCTATGTATAAACCATGAATATGCACATAACGCACAAATAGATTTACAGTATTTCTGTGGTATTACAATTTCCCGGGGGGAGAAATTAAGATTTTTTTTAAAAAAGACTCCTGGGGGTGTGTGTGTGTGTGACAATAATAAATGGTTGAGAAGCCCTGAAATAAAGGAATGAGTGGTTCTAGAATCTCAGAATTGCACTCCGGTAAACACTTTCAATGCAGAGACTCCGAGGCGTGTGCAGTCTCAGAGAAACCAGAGAATTCTAGAACCCAGAGCTGGAGGGAGCTCTCCAGAGCAGCTAGGGCAGCCACGTTGTTTTGCAGATGGAAAAGCTGAGGCGCAGAGGGTGCGGTCATATCCAGTGACACACACCAGCCAGCGCCGAGGCTTCCTCTCCAGCCTGGCGCGCACGCTCCCCGCTCCGCTGGCACTGCCCGAGGCTGACCCTGGAGCAGGGGCAGGAGGCCCAGGCCGGTGCAGACAGGCCCTGCTCCCTCGGGGGTTTCTGATGGCCTCCGGCCTCCGCTGCACGCCCAGCACCCCCCTGGCTCCAGCCCCTACCCCACAGAGATGCCCACTGCCTACTCCAGGGCAGTGTCCCAGGGCTGTCCTGGCCCCCCACCCCTCGGCGATGAGGGGCCGTTACCAGTGGGCGGAGGCACCGGCTGTGAGTTGTTACCAGCAGCTGCCAGGGAACGACTTGGCGCAGGTCCCACTCCACCCGGTAGCTTTCCCGCCCGAACAGCTGTTTCACAGCTCCTGCCCCGGCCCCGCTCCCACCTGAGGATCTGGAGGCGGAGTTCAGGTGCAGCAGGAGGAGCCTCTGGCTGGGGTCACGCCAACCATGCAGGCCCGGGAGCGTGCCCCCTGCCGCTCACCGCTGTGGGCCTGGGCGAGGAACTGACCGCTGACCAGGGGACGGAGGTCACCGTGAGGATGACGGAAGCTCGGGACCAGGGCCTGGAGCTCAGAATGAGAATCCATCTGGTCATGAGGCCACAATAAGCCAGCAAGACGGGGATGTCAGTGTCCTCTTCCAGAAGAGGAAGCAGGCTTAGCGTAAGCACCTGCCCAGTGTCAACCAGCACGGCGGGCCCAGGGGCCCCGAGGTCCCGCACGGGGTGGGAGGCTCTGGACCTCTGCCTTCCCAGTGAGCCTCTCCTGGTGTCCCTCCTGCTACCTGAGTCTCGCCACCTCCTGCCCTTTCACCCCAGGACTCTTCATGCTGCTGGAGGCCGGGGTCGTGACCTTGGCTGTATCAGGGAGCCCGGCTCTGGGGCTCCTGCCTCAAGGATGCAGGGGAGGGCGCCAGGGCAGATGGTTCTGCAGCCACCCACTGGGGACCCTTCTCCGAGTGGTGCAGGTGGGAACCGCAGCCCTTCACAAGGAGGGACTGTTCCCCCATCTCCCACTCCTGGGAGGAGGGAGGGGGCTGAGGGCTGAGAAGAGGGAAGAGAGAGAAGAGGGAGAAGGCTGCCCTGCACATCCGTGCTTCTCAGAAGCAGAGACAAAACACGAGGGGCGGGGGGAGAGGGGGCACGGAGGAAGAGCCAGGCTCTCCTAGCGGATTGTCCCTTTAAAAAAAAAATAAATTAAAAAAAATATATATATATATATATTTTATTGATTTTTTTTACAGAAAGGTGAGGGATAGAGAGTTAGAAACATCGATGAGAGAGAATCATCAATCAGCCGCCTCCTGCACACCTCCCACTGGGGATGTGCCCGCAACCAAGGTACATGCCCTTGACCGGAATTGAACCCGGGACCTTTCAGTCCGCAGGCCGACGCTCTATCCACTGAGCCAAACTGGTTTCGGCATATATATATATATATTTTTTTTTTCATTGATTTCAGAGAGGAAGGGAGAGGGAGATAGAAACATCAATGATGAGAGAGAATCATTGATCAGCTGGCTCCTGCACGCCCCTCACTGGGGACCAAGCCCACAACCTGGGCATGTGCCCTGACCAGGAATCAAAACACAACCCCTTGGATTATAGGTCGACACTCAACCACTGAGCCACACGGCTGGGCTGATTGTCCTCTCTTGGTCTGTCATTCCTCTACTGCAGTGTTTCCCAAAGTGTGGTACGCATACCCCCAGGGGTCCGGGAAGAGTTTGGTGGGGGTATGCGTTGCACGGGAGTTTGGTGAGGATATGCACTGCACCGTGCTTAGCTGCACCTAATTCTACGTCCTCATGAGTATGAGGGGTACTCAGCGTTACAAAAATTATAGAAGGGGTACACATATGTCAAAAGTTTGGGAAACACTGCTCTACAGCAACATCCTCTGCTGGCCCCGGGGCTCCCGAAGGGACGGAGCCAGGCCTGTGCGGGGGGAGAGGAGCTGGACATCCCAGGGAGGACCACAGGGCTGTACCTTCTATTCCACCGCGTTTTCCCATCCCCAACACTCGGTGGCATCTGCCCCCAAACCTTGCCCGAGCCCCAGCCCGTCACCCCACATCCACAGGCAGACTCTCTCCCGGCCCAGGCTTCTCTGGGCAGCCAAGGCCAAGGGGGTTCCTTGAAGTGGGAAGAGGAGCCAGACCCCCCAGTGGCTACACAGGATGTGACTGGTCCCAGGAGCCCAGCAGCCCCTCCTGAGACTCCTGTCCTTATTCCTTTGACCGTGGACCTCTCCCTTGCCCCCAGAAAACCCAATAAAGGCTCATGAAGAAAGCAAAGCCAGATTTTGTGGCAAATTGGAGGCGCCAAAAAAATTCCAGGGGTCACCTGGAGGTCCCGGGTGGCTGGGAGGTCCATAGGGCAAAGGGGCTCTGTGATGACTCCCCTCTCATCCTTGGCGGGACATGCCCAATTAGCAGAGAAGCGATGCCCCAGCCTCTGATGTGCCCTGAGCAGGAAGCTCCTCTGCCCAGCCAGTACCCCCAGGCAGGCTAGGAGGGGGGTGAGGAGGGAGATGGGACTCCCTGGCACTATCAGCCTCCTGGGTCTCCGGCCCAGGTCACCTTGAAGGGACACCAGCTGGCCCAGCTCCCCTCCCCCACTCCTACCGTTTCCATGGGGACAGATGTCCTTTCAGCAGCATCTGCCTCATCAGGCCTCAGCTGCCCGCCCCAATGGGGAGGGGAAAGCGGGTGGGGGGTGGGGCTGGCCTGAGAGCCCTCTCTGGGTTTCTTGATCTTTTTTATCTGCTGGACTCCACTGACTCTGAGTTTTGGTCCCTCCCTGTGAGCTGTTCAGGCTCCAATCCCAGCTCTTCCTGCAAAACGAGGATGTGGGGACCCCCTTCTCCCCTAAAGGGCCCATCTTTTTCATCCTTCCCCGGGGCTGGGCTCCCGGCCTCCCAGAAAGGACACTGGAAACACACAATAACTTATTTATTTTCTGGATCGGAGGAGGACTTTCTCACAGTCTCGGACCCCAGGACCCGGAAGGGGGCTGAGAGGGCGACCCCGAAGCAGCCAGCCGAGAGCCTGGAGCAGCGGGAGGCCTTTCCCTGGCCTCCTCTGGGCCTGGTGGGAACGGCCTCAGGGAGCAGGGCCGGGGGCAGGGGCTCCAGCGCAGGGGCTCTGAGTGACCACCGGGTACAGCAGGGCCAGGTGCTCGGCGCCCTGCACGGGCAGCGGGCGCGAGCTGTAGTGGAGCACCAGTTCGGGCACGCTGGCGAAGGGGCCGCTGTGCTGGCCCAGCACCAGCTGGTTCTCTCGTGTCCACGCAAACTTCAGGTGCAGGAAGCCCTGGCTGCTTCTGGGGAGCAAACAGCATCACAGGGGGCCTAGAGCACCCCAGATCCCAGCAAGCTCTCCAGCCCTGAAGCCACCCCATCATTGCTCCTGGAACCCCGGGACTGGTGTCCCCAGAGATTCCTGTTAAACAGCCAGCTGGTGCCAAGGCACTGGCTTGCTCCACACAGCAGGGTGCCTTCTATGCTGGACAGACAGGCCCTGCCCAGGGACAGCCCTCCCCTGAAACATGAGCTGGACTTTCTCTCCAAACCTCCTGACCCCCACTAGCTAACACCCCACCCCCCCCACCCCCGGCTGGGGTCTCTCCTTTCTCTGCCTCGGGTGGGTGGAATGTTGTAGAACCTGGGAATCATTTTATCCACATCATCCATGTGAATCAACCACTTCCTGTTTCCGGGGCCCTGTTCTCATCATTTCTTCATGAATTTTTTTTTCCCATTTGAACATTGCAGTATCACCATGGCATTGATGTATTATCCTTTCCTAAATGAGGAAACCACGGCCCAGAGAAGTTGAGCACACTGGCTAAGGTCGCACGGCTAGAAAGAGGTAGAGGCAGGATCTGAACCAGCCTCCAAAGGCCTCTGCAAGCCTGGCCTTTTAGATGTCACACTTGGAACCCTAGCAGGGTCTTAGGAGTGCAGCCCGATCAGACACGCCTAGAAGCTTAGGCAGAGAAGTGCGCAGGACCAAGGTCTCCAACTCACGTGGCTAGAGGGAAAGGTGACCAGACGTCCGGACTTTTAACAATTTGTCGCGCAGCGTTTTGGGACTTTTTTAAAATGCTGCGGGACGCGGGACAATTTGTTAAAAATCGGGACTGATCACCTTACTATAGGGCCGCTCAGATCCCAGCTCTGGGACAGACTCAAGTGAATGTACTTTATTTAACCGTTGGACTGGGGAGTCCAAAGAAAACTGGCATCTGGTTCTCCATCTCACCCAAGTCCTAGATCTACTGTTCGGCTTCCCCTCCCTCTTCCTGCAAACCTCGCGGGACAAGGGGTTCCTTCTCAGGAGGTCTCCCTGGGAGCCCCCCCCCCCCCAGGGCCCAGGAGTCCCATCCGCTGGCCTGAAAGCTGAGGCACATCCCTCTGCTCCCCCTGAACAGACCCGGAAACATGGCGCAGGCCTCACCTGAGGGACAGGGAGCAGTCCTGGGGGCTGGTCTCGCTGAGCCGCACCAGGTAGCTGCCTTCCTTGCAGAGCAAGAGGAGGTTCTCGGCGTCTGCCCGGCTCAGGGGGCCGTGAAACCACCTGGGTGAGGGGGGCAGATGTCTCAGGAAGGGCCCTCCCCCTTCAGACACACTCGGGTCTGGTGCAGGCACAGCTGGTTAGAGGGCTTTGGGCCTCCAGGCAATTAAGAGGAAAACTCCCTCGGGTTTCTCCGGAGGCGAGAGGGAGAGAGCAAAGGTTTCAGTCCCGCCTTCCTGGGAGGAGCGGGGTGGGTGCCAGCCAATGGGATTTCAGTAGGAAGGCGGTACCAATGGGACCCCACCTCCTCCACCCCCAGGCAGCGGAGCCCAGGCCGGTGTGGAGCTGCTCCTGCCAATTAACGGTTCCACCTGACCTTGGCCTCGGCCTCCCTGGGCTGGATAACTCAGCCCCTGCCCTAGTCCCCCAACTTGAATCACTTGCTTATCCCTCTCACAAGATGTGCTCCATCCCGCGTCCCCACCCAGCTGGCCCCCTCTCTCCCTCGCGTTGTTCTTTACCGTGCCCCAAGAGAGGCAGCCGTTGCAAGCAAGGTGACCAAGACAGATTAGCATCAGGGACTCCGTGGTTATTTGTGTTGAAAGAAAATTGAAAAGAGGCCAAACCCAGTTTGGCTCAGTGGATAGAGCGTCGGCCTGCGAACTGAAAGGTCCCGGGTTCGATTCCGGTCAAGGGCATGTACCTTGGTTGCGGGCACATCCCCAATGAGGGGGTGTGCAGGAGGTGGCTGGTTGATGTTTCTCTCATTGATGTTTCTAACTCTCTATCCCTCTCTCCTCCTCTCTGTAAAAAATCAATAACATATTTTTTTAAAAGAAAACTGAAAAGAGAATAAACTTTCTACCTTGTGCTTCAGTGCTAAGTAGCCAGGAGGGCAAGGCCTGGGAATGACTGTGATAAACACGGCCACAGGCCTAGGGCCTAGCTGGGGGTGTACGGACCTCCTCAAGGGCCCCTAGGCCTCACCCTAGCCCAAAGCCGGGGCCTCTTCCCAATCCTGTTCTTCCCAGTTTTGTCCCAGGCGCGTCCTGGGCGGGAGGAGACCGCTGGTTCTTAGTTCCCGGGCTTACAGACCCACCCAGGCAGAGGAAGGAAGTCCCCCTTTACTCTGTGTGAGCCGGGTATCATCTGGGGGGTTTTAAGCGCAGGGCTCAGGTGAGGTAAGTGACAGGCTCCAGTCCTGTAGCCGGGAGACAGAGAAGGGACTTGAACCCAGAGTCTGATCCCAGAGGGAACTGAGACTCCATCTGACTCCGCTTTGCACCTGGCTAGATGGCCTGGCACACAGCAGGTGCTGGCGCCCAGGAAGGATTCGTTGAAGAAATGAATGAAATGAGTGAGTGAGTGAATGAGCCAGCTCCCCTAGTCCGGGGAGTCTATAGCTGGTAATGGGGGCAGGAGGGATGCAACCCAGGACTTCATCTTCCGTTTCCCCACTCACGGCTGCTTCTCCAGCGGCAGGGCAGGGTCCACACGCTCGGCCAGGTGGGGGCTTCTGGGTGGGGGCTTCCGGAGCTCCTTGGCCGAGCCTGGGGTCCTCTCCCACTCAGGACTGTCAAACTGCACTGCAGCGGGGGCGGGGGAGAGAGCCGAGGTTTCAGTCCAGCCCACTTGGGAGGAGCGGGGTGGGGCAAGCCAATGGGATTTCAGTAGGAAGGCGGTACCAATGGGATTGGGAAGAGGAGGGGCTGGGGCCGAACTGGGAAGGGAACAACCAATTGACTTTCAGAATGGGTGTGGTCAACGTGGCACAGAGGGCGGGGCAGTTCATAAGTGACAAATCAGAGAACAGGGGCGTGGCTAAAAGGGTGGCCCACTAGACAGACAAGCAAACTAAGGCACTGAGCTCCAATTCCCCTCCCAGTCATACAACATGTGGGGCAACGTTGTGTTCTCACGAGTCTCCCTGGCTCAAGTGATTTTATTTCTTAAAGCTGACCTTATTGTTCCTCCTTTTATGGAAGAGGAAAATGAGATTCAGAGGCTGGGCCAAGCTCACCCAGGTCTACCTGATGACAGCTGCTAAGAAATGCTACTCTCTCCCTCCAACAATTCCTGTGTTATTGAGCACTTTGTAGCACTCAACTTCCAAGCACCCTGTACAGTAGAGACCACAATGATCTCCATTTTACAGGTAAGGAGACGGACTCAGGAAGGTAAAATGATTTGCCCAAGTGAAGTGACACAAACCCAGGTCAAAGCCTTCCCCTTCACTATACTGAGCTGAGTAAGCAGGTCCTATTGCGCTCCAAAAGGCGTTTCCGTTTCCTAGGAAGATAGTTTCTTCCGGGAAGAGAAATGTATGACTATTAGTCATTCACACTTTAGTGAGAATTAACAAACCACCACAGTGGCAGATAACTGGGGTCTCCTTCGTGAGCTGAAACAGGGGATGTGACCGGAGCAGCAAACAGAGGGACTCAGGCATTCGGAGCCCTGGGCTGGAGGAGCACCTGCAAACGCCTTGGAGATGTGGTCCTTCTTCCACTCCCACGGCTGGTCGTACTCATCCGCTGGCCTTTCGTCCTCCGGGGGCTGCCGGCTCTGTTTAGGCCTTTGCCCTGAGAAAGGCCCGTCTCCTGGCTCCCCATCCTGCTCCTCGTAGGGAGTGTCATACAGCTGCACTGCCCTGCACGGCAGCTCTGGGAGGCCGAGGACACTGGTCAGATCCCACTCCAGCCTGGGGCCCTGCCCTCCTCCCCCGAGCCCTGCTCACTCACCACTCACGACCCGCTGGGCGTCATAGGGTTCCATGTAGCCATCATCTGGGGGTGGCGGGTGAGGCTGGGCATCAAAGGGGTCCGAGTACTCAGTGTCAACTTCTGACTGGGGAGAGAAGGAAAGGGACCCAGCTGGCTCTGGGCCCTCCCGGCCCTCCCTGGCTCCCTGGGCCCGCTGACACGTCCCTTACAGCAGTTCTCTTTTCCGGGGGAGGAGGGAGTCTCCGCTTCCATCCAGGGATGTTTGCAAGAAAGGTGCCAGCTGCCCCTACTCCCTTCCTCCATGCAGTTCTTCCTAACATAGACCCCCTCGCCTCCTTCCTTCAACAATTTTATATATATATATATATATATATATATATATATATATATATATATATATTATAATATATATTTTATTAATGCTCAGAGAGGAAGGGAGAGAGATAGAGAGATAGAAACATCAAAGATGAGAACCATTGATTGGCTGCCTCCTGCACCTCCCCTACTGGGAGTGATCTAGCCCGCAATCAGGGCATGTGCCCTTGGCCGGAATAGAACCTGGGACCCTTTAGTCCACAGGCCAACGCTCTATCCACTGAGCCAACTGGCTAAGCAATTTTTGTTTGTTTGTTTTTCTTTTGTTAATCCTCACCCGAGGATGCTTTTTTCCATTGATTTTAGAGTGGAAGGGAAGAGCAGAGAGAGAGAGAAACATCAATGAGAGAGACACGTCCATTGGATGCCTCCCACATGCATGTGCCTGAGCCTGCACCTGGGATACATGCCTTAGACTGGAATCAAACCCGAGACTCTTCAGTCTTCGGCCAACACTCCATCCACTGAGCCAAACTGACTAGGGCTTCAATAATTTTAAAGTTTATCAGCTGCCAGCACTATTCTAAATGCTTTATATATGTATATTGACTTGTCATATCAACATTCCGTAGGCACATTATCCCCATTCTACAGATGAGGAAACCAAGGCACAGAGAGGGTAACTTGCTCAGGGTCACAGAGCTGGTAAGAGGCAGGATTTGATCCCAGGTTGTCCTGGCTCCTGCCTTCCTCTGTACCATCAACCCAACACAGTCTCTCCTAACCCTCTCAAACCCTTCTGTTTCCATTGGGTGTTTGCAGTGATCCTCTAAGAAAAATACGATAGCCCGGCCGGTGTGGTTCAGTGGTTGAGGATCAACCTATGAACCAGGAAGTCACAGCTCGATTGCAATCAGGGCACATGCTGGGGTTGCAGGCTCAATCTTCAATAGGGGGCATGCAGGAGGCAGCTGATCAATGATTCTCTCTCATCACTGATGTCTCTATCTCCCTCTCCCTTCCTCTGAAATTAATTAAAAATTTTATTAAAAAAAGAAAAAGAAAAATACTACAAAAATCATGGGCATTGGAGGCAGGTCTGAAGTTAGACCATGTGATCTCAGGCAAATTGCTTCTTTAAAATATATATATATTATTGATTTTTTACAGAGAGGAAGAGAGAGGGATAGAGAGTTAGAAACATCCACGAGAGAATCATTGATCAGCTGCCTCTTGCACACCCCCTACTGAGGATGTGCCTACAACCAAGGTACATGCCCTTGACCGGACTAGAACCTGGGACCTTTCAGTCCGCAGGCCAACGCTCTATCCTCTGAGCAAAACCGGTTTTGGCGCAAATTGCTTCTTTACTTTTCTGTGAACCTCAGTTTCCACGTCTGTTAAATGGGAGTAGTAACAAAGGCAGTGGTGAGGATGTGTGAGGGGAGGAGATGGGGGGAGCGAACCACTCAGGCCTGATTTGAAAGCTCCCTTCAGCTGCCCAGAGGAAGGGGCCTGGAGAGGGACCTCAGGGACGGAGGACAATGCAGGGCAGTCAGAGAGGTGGGTGGGCCAGCTCTGTGCCTGACAGACATCAGACTTGGCCCGCAGGTGAGGGATGGGAGTGTCTGCGGTCACTCATTACACATGCTCCCCAGAGTCCGGGCCCAGCCTGGTCCTCCCCGCCCAGGCTCTGAGCGCCCCCCAGCTTCCGCCCTGAGCCACGCACCTGTGCCCCTGCGGTGCCCAGCAAGGCCTTGGCTCTGGCCACCTCGGCCATGTCGGCTGCCTCCACCTTGATGAGCCGGTGCTTGGGGGAGTCGTACTTGGAGTCCGCGGGGCCCGCAGGGTCCGGCTCCGGGCGGCTGTCCGCGTCCTCATAGGGGTCCTCGAAGTCCAGGCTCTTCTGTTCCAGGTAGGCCCGCAGGATGTCGCTCTCCGTGTAGTCCGGGGTGGGTGGCTGCGGAGGGGGCCTCCGGCCGCCAAAGCTCAGGTAGTCCCGCAGCCACTTGGCCATCTGGGCCGGTCACCCCAAACCTGGCTACTGTAAAGGGGGACACACAGGCCCTCTTCCGGGTGCCTTCCTCAGTAGATTGGGGAGGGGGGGGACGAGGGGAGGAGGAGGAGAAAGGGGAGGGGGAAGAGGAGAAAGTGGAGGAGGAGGAGGAGGAGGAGGAAAGGTAGGGGGGAGGAACAGAAGTGGGGAGGAGGAAAGGGGGAGAGGGAGGAGAAGGGGTAGGGGGAGGAGGAGAAAGAGGAGAAGGGAGAGGAGATGAGGGAGAGGGAAGAGGTAGGGGAGGAGGAGGAGGAGGGAGAGGTAGGGGGGAGAAACAGCAGGAGGGAGGAGGAAGAGGAGGAGGGAAGGAGATGAGGGAGAAGGTCGGGGGAGAGGGAGGAGGAGGAGAGGTAGGGGGAAGAAACAGAAGGAGGGAGGAGGAAGAGGAGGAAAAAGAGGAGGAGAAGGGGGAGAGGGAGGAGATGGGGGGGAGAAACAGGAGGAGGGAGGAGGAAGAGGAGAGGTGGGGGGAGAAACAGGAGGGAGGAGGAAGAGGAGGAGAAGAAGGAGTAGGTGGAGGAGGAAAAGGAGGAGGAAGGAGAGGAGGAAGAGGAGAGGTAGGAGGGAGAAACAGGAGGAGGGAGGAGGAAGAGGAGGAGGGGAGAGGAGGGGGGAGGAGGAAGGAGGGATGTCAGGTGTGCCCCTTGGCTGGGCTCAGGGGACAGGGTAAAAGGGGAGAAGAAGGATAGGCGGGGTGGGGACGCCAAGCCCACCTTAGCCCGGCTCTGGAAGGCCCGCGGGGGAAGGGGGTGCTCCGCTGGGTGGTCCGGCCGAGGCGAGGGGCTTCCGCGGGCAGCGCGGTCCCTGCGGGCAGCGAGGTCCCCAGTGCCGCTCGCCGCCAGCGCCCGGGCAGCGCCGGTCCCTCCTGGGCTCCGGGCTCCCTCCTGGGCGCCGGTCCCTCCTGGGCTCCGGGGTCCCCCCGGGCTCCGGGCTCCCCCCGGGCTCCGGGGTCCCCCCGGGCTCCGGGCTCCCCCCGGGCTCCGGGCCCCCCCTGGGCTCCGGGGGCGGGAAGCGCCGCCTCGGACGCCCCGGCCCCGCTCCCCGGGGCGCCTGGGCTCGGCGCAGCGGGGGCTCCCGGCGCGGGCCGCCCCAGGTGGGGCCGCCGGGACCTTGACCCGACGCGGCGCTGCCCCCTGTCCCGGGGGAGCCCCAATCCCCGGCCCCGGCCCCGCGCTGGACCGCCGCCGCCGGCACAAAGGGAGATAAACCGCGGTGCCCTCCGCGTGCGGAGACCGTCCGCCGCCGGGAGGCTCGGGAGGGCGCAGGGGACGCCCGGTCCCACCGGCCTCCGGCCGCCTCGGGGCCGCGTTAAGGGTCCTCCGCCCCCCCCCTCCGCTCCGCGCCGCTGGAGGTGACAGACCCCCGCCGTTCCGGGAGGGAGGGCGGGGCCGCCGCGCGGCGCTGGGATGTCACTGACCCGGGGCAGAGGCGCCGAGGAGCGGGCGCGGGTGGCGGGCGCCACCGGCGCTGACCTTCCGGAGAGGGGGGTGCAGGGCGGGTGGGGAGAGGGGGCTGGGGGAGGGGACTGGGGAGAGGGAGGCTGGGAGGAGGGGGCTGAGGGAGGGGGGACTGGGGAGAGGGGATGGAGGGGAAGGGGCTGGGGGGAGGAGACTGGGGGGAGGGAGCTGGGGGAAAGGCGGGCTGGGGGAAAGGCGGGCTGGGGGAGAGGGGGACTGGGGGGGAGGAGGCTGGGGGGAAGGGGGCTGTGAGGGAGGCGGGTGGAAACTGGCCGGGAAATGGGGGCTGGACTTGACCACGCGACACGGGAACTGACCAGCAGAGGGGGTGAGAGGGGCCAGCGGCGTCCAAACTGAGCCCAGGTCTGGCGGCAGACTGACCAGGGGATGTGTGTGTGTGTGTGTGGGGGGGGGGGGGGGGTGTCGCAGAGGTCACCGCAGGGAGCCGGACCCAGAGGGGGAAAGAAGGAAGCCACGCCGGATCTGGCTCCCCCCCCCCCAAGGGGGCTCCCCAGGGGACTAACGGGACGGGAGAGGGCTGGGGCAGCTGGCCAGGAAGGGAGATGGTATCTGCCTGGCGAGTGTCCTCGGCATCTGTCCCTTTGTGGCTTGTGGGGAGGAGGCGGGGAGGGGACAGAAATGAGGGGTCTGCCTGCCGCAGCCGCAGCTGCAGCTGTGTGTGGGGGGGGAGGACACTAAGGGGTCTGGGGGAGGGAGAGGGGCCAGGGAGCGTCTGGCCACTGCCAGGGCAGACACGTTTGCTTTCCTTCCCCCTAAGGGCTTGCTCGGGCCCCTGATGTTGGGGTAGGAGCGGGGTGGCCAGGAAGGGAGGAGCCCGGATTTCCTCCTCCCAGCCCCCCAGGCTGGCAGGTGCCAGTGGCTTGGAGGGCAGGGAGAACCGAACCGGGAGTCGGAGCTGACGGTGCTGTAAGCTGCCCCCTGGAGGAACAGTGGGGCTGGGGCTATTGAAAGGGGGCAGCAATTTGGGAGCCAGCTAGTATTGTGAGAAATATCAGTCCTGCTCTGTTCACCACCACCGGTTTATTCTGACTGAAGAAGGCACATCCCACCCCGGCACTGGCCTGGAGAAGCAGCCCTTCCTCCTGCTCGGAGCTGCCTGTTCTCATGGGAAGGAGAAGGACTTTGCTGCAGAAACAGGAATCGCCGCCCTTTGAATGTCCCAGCCCTTCGCACACCTGCAGGCCTCTGCAGACCTCAGCCTGCTCACCTGCTAAGGGCCCGTCGGCACTCCCACTGGCTATTTCCCCGGGTCACCCGCCCTGCATACCACTCAGCCCTTTGAAGACCCTGGCCCTTCTGCACAGCTGTACACGGCCCTGTGCCTGCTTTTCCTCTGCTTTCCCCGTGGGAGCAGCGGGCTCAGGGTGGGGGGCAGAGCAGATCCCGGTGGCTGACCCGCTGCTCTCTTGCACGCAGGCAGCACTGGAACAAACGGAATCTGTGATTCAGCCCTGTGGCCGCTCCAGTGGCTCCATGGCGACAGGCAGCCCGGACCCATGGTTACACAGTCGCTGTCCCTGGGAAGAACAGCGGGGCCAGGGCTGTGTCTATGCCTCTGCACGTTGCTTTCCCGGCTTAAACTATGGGGCTTCTGATAGGAAACCCCTAAAGAGCGAGGGGAAGGATTGCCCGAGGGAGAGCCATTTTTTTCCTGGTGGGGAAACTGAGGCACAGAGAGGGAGGACTTGCTCAGAGTCGCCCCTGGACGCCATGATATGGCCTGGCATGGGCTGGCATTAGAGACCCACTAGAGTCTCTTCATGGAATCCGCGGTTCTCTGTCTCCCCTCCACTGCTAGCCCCATTTTCCAGGCAGGAAAACTGAGGTCCGCAGCTGACAAGGCAGAGCCCCTCGCTTTGGCCGTGTCACCCCACACAGACCCGGAGCTCAGTCCTCCCCCGGGGAGCACATTCACTCAGCCTCCCAACCCCAGCCTGCCCGCTCCGATCCCCGCCCGCTCCGATCCCCGCCCAGGCAGCGTTCCCGACCTCAGAGAGCTCGGCAGTAATTGTCCTGCTTTCTGCCAGCCGCCAGGTAATTCCAGGCTTGGCTCCGGCTGAGCTGGTGACAGATCTCATCAAATCCGAGTCCTCACCCTGGCGAATAAACACGGGCGTCTGCGGTATAAATATTTGAAAGGGCCTCCTAATTACAGTTTGTGTCAGGAATGGCAATGAGAGGCCCCGCAGGCGGAATCAAACGGCATTTGACTTTCCTGCGCTTTTGAGCTGGCTCCTCCTGGGGCCGCCCCTCCACCGCCAGGCGGGGAGCGGGGAGGGGAGGCGGGGGGAGGGGAGCTGGAGGAGGTGGACGGGAGAGCCGGGCTGGGAGTCCTGACCTTGAGCTATGACCTGTATAGCCACGTAACCTCCTGGGTTTGGCTTTCTGGTTGGAGACCGGGGGGCCATGGAGCGGTGCTTGGAGGGGGCACTCCATGGACAAAGGCAGGAAGGTGGGTGGCCCCGGGTCCTCCCTTCCCCCAGCACCACCTTGGGCAGTGATTTGGATTGTCCCATCTTTTCAGTGGGAATGGAACAGCTCACCTCTGCTGAGCACTTACTGCCTGGCATTGTTTGGGGCACTTTTATTTTTTTTAAAGGGGAGAGCGCGAACGCAGTCCCCCACTACCACAAATGATGCAGTCCAGTTTCCCGCATTTGGGGAAATCGCAGGGGTCAGCACGTCGGAGTGCAATGGATAAGCCTCGCCCTGGGAAAACCACCTACGTGATCATGGTGTCTCCCCTGCCGGGTAAGTATTGTTTGGGGCACTTTTTATTTTCAAAGGATTATTTTTAGAAAGAAACATTGATGTGAGAGTAGCAACATCAGTCCGCTGCCTCCTGCCCTCCCCCAGCGTGGTCTAAGCCTGGGTGTGTGCCCTGACTAGGGACCTAAGAGGCAATCCTTTGGTGCACCAGATAACGCCCAACTAACTGAGCCACATGGGCCAGGGAGAGTGGGCAACTTTAAAAAAAAAAAAAAAAAAAAATATATATATATATATATATATATATATTATTGAATTTTCACAGAGAGGAAGGGAGTCACATGGGGAGTCAGAAACATCGATGAGAGAGAAACATCGATCAGCTGCCTCCTGCACACCCCCTACTGGGGATGTGCCCGCAACCAAGGTACATGCCCCCGAATGGAATCGAATCTGGGACCCTTCAGTCCGCAGGCCGACGCTCTGTCCACTGAGCCAAAGCGGTTTGGCAAGTGGACAACTTTTAAAAAAGATGTAATTCACATCCCTACCACTGACCCGTGTGAAGTGTGTATTTCAGTATGTTCAGAGGATTGTGTCACCCTCACCACTATCTAGTTCCTGAACATTTTATCACCCCGATTTAGCAGTAACCTCTTATTCTCCCCAAATCTATATCCCATGACACCCACGCACCCCCTGCCTGTCTCTGTGGGTGTGCCTTTCACATCAGTGGGGTCACGCTCTGTGGCCTTTACGTCTGGCTCCTCTCAC